GATGAAATTTATTAATTGTCCAATAAAATCCTATCCAATTCAAGTAAATTTCTTTGACAAACTCGCTCCTCTTTTCCACTTCTCAAAAAGTTACAAATACGAGTAATATTTATTTAGTGTTATTAGTGCTTAACACCAGTCTAGATGATAATACTGGTAATATTAAATTACATGTTCAATTAAATAAAACGAATTATAGCTCCTATGACATGTTGACATATAAATTAGTGTTTAACACCATTGACGCTAAATAGCATTACAAGAACAGGGTCATCTTCTTTATACCACGACAACATGTTAAAAGTACAAAATGCAATGTGATTTTAGCTGTCATTTTTCTACACAAAAACCACCTCTCTCTCTCTCTCTCTCTCGTTTGTGACCTTTTTATCCCCTCACCTCTGAAAAATATAACATGGCCAGCTGTCAGGCAAACAAGGGCATATTTGTAAATGACTAATGTCCAATCTCGACCACCAGATCATCAAGAGTTGGCAATAGAATAAATATATGGGCATAAACTGGTGGAAGCTGGTCCAATGAGTTGGCACCATTGCAATTACATATAAAATAAAATATTGTAATTTCGATAAATTAAAATACATTCAAATTTTATTAAGTGCTTGTTTGGTAAAAATTTTGTTAATTGATTTTTTGATCGTTAGAGATAAAGTGGATCCTAACTGTAAGAAAAGAATTCAAAAATGATGGCTAAAATAGTAAAATAATGATCAAAAAATTAATTTTAATTGAATTTTAAACCGTATCAAACATGCTCTAAATAATAAATTAGTAACGTAACATTACTCCTACATAGTAATATTGAGCAATAGTTTTTGGAATTTTTTTTAAAATTTTTACCAAGGTGGGACCGGGTTGTTTTTGGATTTTTTTTTTCTAAATTTTTACCAAGGTGGGACCGGTTTGGGTGTGGGGGTGGTAGAGGGGTTAAGTTGAGCTGGCATGCTCGTGCAGGCAAGAAATGATGGTGACGTCGTGAGGAATATGTAGAAAGAGTCAATAATTTTGTAAATCTCAAAGGACGCCTCTTCCTTCTCAAATGAATGATTTTGGCGCACGTGCTTATCACGTGTCCAACCTACACTGGATATGTTATGATCACGTGTGTTCAAATAATGGACCGATGGGCTAATTTAGTCCCTTTATTTTTTTGAGGAAATTAGGCCAAATGCCCCAAAAAGTGACTCAATTAGATTAATACCCTAAATTAATTAAACAAAACGTAAACCCCGTAATAATTACGGCAATCTCTGTACCATGGCCAACTACCCTTTCTTCCGCTTTGCATTCTTTAAATTTACCAAATCAATATAATGAACTTATAGATACAATGTGAGAATGTATAGAAAGATGGCTAATTCAACGCCTAATCCGAAGCAGCAACCGTCGACGATGTCGTACACGTTGGAGCAACTCGTCGTTGTCAACCCGAACATCCTTCTAGATCTCGAAAACTATGTGAATAAACAAGTCTCTCCTTAAACGTATAATTTGAGTGCAAATCTTTTCCTTCTTTGTCTCTATCCGTTCGAGCCAGATAGAATGAGTACTCAAATTGTTGCCTGCATTTTGATCAAAGCTTTAGTGGCAATGTCGGCACCAGATTTCAGCCTTTGTCTCTTTTTAATTCCTGAAAGAGTGAAAATGGGAGAATAGTTTAAGGCCTTCATTTTTCTTTCATACTACTTGGAGACAGCAAGGTTCTCCCAGTTTTGGGACGAAGCAGCTAAGAGTCGCCACATGTTAGATGATATACCAAGGTTTGAACAAGCAGTTCAGGCATATGCAATTCATGTAGTTTCACGGACTTACCAGAGGATTTGGGATTTTGAGAATTGTTCTTGCCGAGGCCATCAACATTGAAGGTCTGTTCCTTAACAAGTTCATCGACCACCATGTATCCAACTAAGATTGGGCTATAGAGAAGCTCCTTGGAGCACAACTCAGTGGTACAAAGGACAGGAGTGAAATTATCTCACGCCTTGCTGGCAGCCGTAGTGTGGGGTTCGATTCTTGAGACATGGAATTGGACTCCTTATAGGCGCAGTGTACAGGTAGCTCTTATTCCCTGGCCTGTTGGGACACATCCTGCGATTTACTTCCCTCACAAAACTCTCGGGGCGGAGTAATGAGGACTCTCAAGGTTGGGGTTCAACACTTTTTTTTTTTTTTAAGAGAAGAGTCAGGATAAGGGCCAACTCATTATTCTCCCATGAAATGAATTCAAGCCGGATAATTAACACATGGATTGTCACTTTTTTGAATTGTGTAAAAAAAATCGCAATTTATATTAAAAAAAGTGACATTGTATCACTCTTTAATTTTACACAATATTACCTTTTAAATTTTTGTCACTTCTTTTAATATTTGTCACTTTTTTATCTTGTTAAAAAAATGATATGATATATGATATTTTCCTAACATAATCAGCATGTGGACATGCTCACCATGTTAAGAATCGCCACTACACTCACGTGGGTTTTCTTGAATATGCTGAATATGTTAAGAACATGATTACTAGTACTGCAAAAATGGATGGTACTATTTTGGTATTTGTCACTTTTTTAGAATTTTATCAATTTTTTGAGTGTCACTTTTTTTGAATTGTGTAAAAAGTGACAATTTTTATAAAAGAAGTGATATTGTATGACTCTTTAATTTTACATAGTATTTTTTATTTTCAAAAAACTTTTTTATTTTAAATTTTGTCACTTTTTTTAATATTTATCATTTTTTTATATTCATAAAAAGGTGACATGATATGTGATATTTTCCTAATATAAGCATATGAATTGTCCTAGACATGCTAGCTATGTTAAGACCAAAATTATTGGTGCTACACAAATGAATTGTGTTATTTTGGCGTTTGTCACTTTTTTTGAGTTTGTGTCACTTTTTTTTTTTTTTGTCACTTGAGTGTTTATATTGTTGTTTCTGGAGTTTGAAGTTACTACTTCGAAAACAATCCGACAGAATCACCTGAATGTAAGAATTGATCAACATGATTTAAACAGTAATTCGAGCCCACCGATTTCATGATGTTTCCTTAAAACGAATTTGCTGCCTTCAATAGTGCTAAAGGCGTCCAGCAATCGTTTCCCAGGATAGAACAAATTTTCGTCTCCTACGGAAGCAGCACTACAATCTGCACGAGTTCCAACGAACTCAACGAAGTGTGTTTTACTTCGAGACAATATCAGAACGAGAGAGAGAGGGAAATGAGATTCAAAGCACAGAAAGTTTGCAATGAAAATGGTGTAAATTTTATGGTAAAAAGGCTAACTATTTATAGACTTGTTCGTGGCCATTTGAACAGTCATCACCTTTCAGACAAGACTCAAAAATTCGAACAGACATGCTGTTCTTAAAAGTCATGTCTGTTAAGTCAGTTAACAGTCGACTGTTTACCGACCAAACAGTCGACTGTTAAAAGAAAATAAAACATCCGGAATAAGTCAAAATTTAAATTTCATATTGTAACCAAGAATTTGATTATTTACAATTTGGTCCAAAATTTTAAATAAATTTTGTCCAAAAAGTTAATATAGTGTAAACTCGATGCACGTGCCGTGCCGAACTGCGGCGGTGGCGCGCGCGTGTGGGTTTATGACCGAACCCAATAGGATATTGGTATTCCCCCTTTCAAAGACTATTGGTACCCCTTGGGGCCCAAACCCAATTCCAAACTTCCACCTTATAAATCACACCAAAGTTTCCTAACTTTCCTATGTGGGATAAGTGTTTGGAAAATCAAATTCTTCCATAATCCTTAGTTTATGTAGGTTACTTTAACACTTAATATTTCATTCAATTTTAAATGGTTTTCGATAAATAAATATATCACGTTAATTATCTCGCAGAGTAGAACGTGAATATGCTAGGTCCCGTATTAATTAAAAGGTGGGTCCCATTAAAATTTGGGCTCAAAGTTGACTCATTTCATAACCATTTTTTCCAACATATATCACTTTTTTTGAGTTTAGGTCACTTCTTTTTTAATGTGAAAAGTGACAATTTTTATAAAAAAAAGTGGCATTGTGTCACTTTTTATTTTTATACAGTATTTTTTACTTTAAAAAAAAAAAGATTTTCATATGATTTTTCAAAATACCTTTAGTTTTAAGGGTATTTTTGTAAGTTGACCAAAATTCATTAATATAACGGATTACTTAATTATATAATCGAGTCTTTTCCTTTTTAATTTGAAATCTCTTATGGTAAAAAACGATATCGAATAAGTAGGAAATTTTCAGGTTTCTTGATGAAATGCGTGCCTGGGTGTGCTTCAAGTTTACAGTTATGGAAATTGTAAGACAGTAGTATTACATCAAAGCTTTCATTGTAAAATTTTTTGCACGTAGATTGATTTGATGACGAAATTGTAAATCCAAAAAAATCGCCCCTGTTTAATCTGTATTTTTCAAAATTTACATCTTTTTCCCCAAAAACATAAAAAATTCAACTAGACACAATTTGATCAACTTTTCAATTATATATTTCATCAAATTTTATCAAAATCTACAAAAAAAATATATAATTTCTAACTAAACCAAACAACGCGAAATTCACAAACTAATCACGACAAATAAACTGTCACTGTAAAACATTAAAAAAATGAACACTTGATATTGGAGACGAGCTGGCATGTCTTTGGCATTTAAATGCAAATCCATATAAATCTCTTATCATTCAGAATGGTGGAATTCAAATCAGAAACAGATCGTTCAATAGAAGAATTCACTAGTTGCCGATGTGGTGAATTTATTTCGTTCACACGATTGGAGTGTACATTCGTTATTCAATCGAATGGGCATGCTTTCTCAAACTCTGTTTGTTCTTTACGACACATTTCAAACTCGTTTGTGTGGTAATACATGCACCCAGAATAAGAATCCAGCTCTTTGTTGCACCTTTCGTGGAGATCATTCAGGCTGCAAACCAAATACAAAATCGTTAATCTTTGTCAGGGATTGAAGTCCTAAATTCCAATCATCATAGCGGGATTCAAAAACGAAATTAATATCATGCAAGTTTCATGAAGATAGAATTAATCTAGAATTGACGAGGGCTCTAGAAAACAACTAGAATGATTAGCTTGTACAAGAAAATTAATATCCTCGAGTAACACTTTCTTTACTCAAAATTAATAGATCCTATAGCAGCATGCCAAGCACATCTTCACAAACAGTAAGGTCTCCTGAACTGTGTGGGATGTCAAGATTTGAAGATTTCCCAAGGAAAATTCAGGCTAAAAGCATTAACCTACAAGCTGTAACCCTATTAGGGCATAAAGAAAGGGGCTTTAGAATCAGGAGAAAACGCATTTGGGCAATTTTGTGAACACTTCAATCTTCAACATTACGTTGATTGGAACTTGTACCTTAAATGATCAAACTTCTAATACCTGAAGAGGATTGTCCTATACTCTGAAGCACTAAGGCATATTTGGGACAGAAGAAATCT